CCATATCCACTTGAATAAGTGGTTTACAATATGTTCTTTGTATCTCTCTCCTTCTCGGGCATTATCTATCCCAGATTTTCCCTTTCTTGTTTCATCCTTACCACCACCACTTCTGTTACTTGGCGATTTTAATGCTCACCATTTCCTCTGGAGGGGGGGTCTCATTGTGACTCACGTGGCATTCAGTTGGAGGCTTTTCTTGCTTCTCACCCCCTCCATGTTTTAAATACGGGTACTCCCACTCATTTTGATCCTCGTACTCATACTCTCTCTTGCATCGATCTCTCGGTCTGCTCTTCCTCCATTGCACTAGACTTTGCCTGGTCTGTTCTACCGGACTTACATGACAGCGATCACTTTCCAATCATTCTTTCTTCTTCATATTCACCACCTCTTCGTAGCCCTCGTTGGCAATTTGATCGAGCAAATTGGGACCTTCACTCGCAACTAACTGCTTTTAGTGAGGTTCCTTCTTAATCCTCCATTGATGAGTTTTTACACCTCTTCTCAACATCAGTTTTAACTGCAGCTTCTCATTCTATCCCCCAAACCTCAGGCAGGCATTCTCAGAAGTGTGTGCCATGGTGGTCTCCTGCTTGTGCTCGGGCAGTACATTTGAAACGCGCTATGTGGGGCAGGTACCGGTACAATAGAACCACAGAGAGACTTCTTGATTTTAAGCAGAAGCTAGCGGTTGCTTGCTGTGTCATCCATGACGCTAAACGCACTTGGTGGCGAGATTATGTTTCCACCATCACCTTGGCTTCCTCTATGAGGGCAGTCTGGAAAAAAGTACGGAAACTGAGTGGTAAATACTTTCCTGACCCAGCTCCTGTTCTGCAGGTTGCCGGTGTTGATATAGCAAACCCTCTTGACGTTGCCATTGAAATTGGCAATCATCTGGTCTGTATTTCTCAGGGGCTCCATCTATGCCCCTCGTTTCTTTCCTCAAAGTCTGCCAGAGAGTTAGCACCCTTGGACTTTTCTTCTCTCACTGAAGAACCATATAATGTGCCTTTTACACTTCAGGAACTGGAGGTGACACACTCAGCTTGCCAATCATCGGCAGCTGGGCCTGACAACATTCACATCAATCAGCCCTTGTAGTCCTCTTACACCTCTTCAATCTTATTTGGTCACAAGGAGTTCTCCCCAAGCTGTGGAAATCTGTCATTGTTCTCCCTTTCCGCAAACCGGGTACTACGGGACATGATGCCTCCCACTATCGTCCCATTGCTCTTACCAGTGCAGTTTGTTAAGTGATGGAACGTCTGGTAAATCGACGTTTAATGTGGTATTTGGAGACGCACAACAGTCTCTCCACTAGTGAATATGACTTTCATAAGGGCCGTTCTACCATAGACGCCTTACTACGCTTGGATACGTATGTTCGTAATGCCTTTGCGAATAACCACTCATTTATTGCCATATTTTTTGACCTTGAGAAGGCATATGATACAACTTGGAGGTATAATATTTTGGCCCAAGCCCACTCCTTAGGCCTCCGAGGCAATTTACCATCCTTCCTTAAAAACTTTTTAACTGACAGACATTTCCACGTTCGGGTTAATAATGTGCTCTCCCGGACTTTGTCCAAGCTGAGGGTGTCCCCCAGGGATGTGTTCTGAGCACAACACTTTTTCTCCTTGCTATAAATTATTTGGCCTCTAGTCTTCCATCCAATATTTGGTCATCACTATGTTGATGACTTCGCTATAACTTGTGCAGGCGCTGACTGTCACCTCATTACAGTTTCTCTCCAGCATGCAGTTGACTGTTTCCAATTGGGCCACCACGCATGGGTTTAAATTTTCCAGTACCAAAACTCGCCAAATTACTTTCACTAGACGCTCTGTCAACTCCGATCATCCTTTGTACCTCTCTGGCTCACATCTTTAGGCCTCCTCTTTGATAGTAGGTTATCCTGAAAACCTCACATTACCTCTCTGAAGGCAATTTGTCACAGCCAGCTGAACCTTCTTAAAACCCTTGCTCATCTTTCATGGGGAGCTGATCGTCGAACTCTCCTTCGCCTACATTCAACCCTCATTTTATCGAAACTCGATTATGGTGATCAGATCTATTCAGTGGCCTCTCCTACTACTCTCTCGAGCCTTAATCCCATCCATCACCAGGGATTACGTTTGTGCCTTGGTGCTTTTCGCTCTTACCCTGTTGAGAGCCTCTATGCAGAAGTGAATTTTCCATCCTTGTCCAATCGCCGTGATGCCCATTGCCTTCGCTACTATGTTCGCTCTCATGATCTCCACAATCCTTCCATATATAGAATAGTCACCAATGTTAGTAGACATTATTTGTTCGTCGCCCCTGTTTGCTCCGTCCCTTTTCTCTTCGACTACATTCACTCTTGTCTTCCCTTCAGTTAGCTCCTTTCTATGTTCATGTAGCGTCTCACTTTTCCCTGCCCCCCTGGGAAGTTCCAGCTGTTCGAGTCTGTTCTTTCTCACTCCCTTGCACGAAAGCCCAACTGCCTGCGGTAGCTTTTCGCTCTCTTTTTCTTGACTACTACTGCTCTCATTCTCATGCCATTGCAATGTACACAGATGGCTTTAAGTCTTCTGATGGCATCAGATTCACAGCAGTGTTTCCGGACGGTGTCATGCAAGGACATTTACTATCCTCAGCTAGCATTTTTACAGCTGAATTGTATGCCATTCTTGCAGCACTTACCCGTATTGCATCTATGCCTGTGTCATCATTTGTGGTTGTCTCAGACTCCCTTAGTGCTCTACAGGCCATACGAAAATTTGATACACCTCACCCCCTAGTCCTCCGTATCCAACTTTGGCTACACCGTATCTCTACCAAGCATAAAGATATTGTTTTTGTTGGGTCCCTGGTCATGTTGACGTACAGGGCAATGAACAGGCAGCAACTGCTGCGCGGTCAGCAGTACATGACCTGCCAGTTTCATATAGAGGTGGTCCATTTACGGACTATTTTGCTGCAATAGCTACCCACCTTCACACTCGCTGGCAACAACGTTGGTCTAATCTACTCGGTAACAAACTTCATTCTATTAAACTGAGTACTGTATAGGTTACTGGCCGTCTTCTTGTCATCAGTGTCAAGGTTGGGAGACTACTCTCTCCCGCCTTCGTATTGGCCACACTTGTCTTACTCATGGGTATCTCATGGAGAGGCACCCTGCTCCTCTCTGTGAAAAGTGTCAGGTTCCAGTATCAGTTAGCCATATTCTGTTAGACTGCCCTCTCTATCAACAAGCACGCAGAATTTACTTCCAACTCTCTCTTTACCTTCCCTTCTTGCTGATGGACCCTCCTTTAATCCTGACTCTCTCATTGACTTACTCCACAAACTCTGATGATGATACCTTTCGCACTCCCCTCAGCCCCTTCTACCCCTGCACTATCCACTTCCCTGCTGTTCTTCATAACCTACTAATTATCCCTCTCTCTTTTGCCACCTGATACCCCGCTTCCTTCCTTCCCTGCAGCGCTGTATAGCTCTTGTGGTTTAGCGCTTCTTTTTGATTATAATAATAATAATACATTATTTGCATATGCATGGTGAAACCACGATTTAACGAGCAACAGTTAGCCTCTAAGCTGGCAGTGAACATACAAGTATGCATAATTCATAGTGGCAAATTTAAGCCTAAACATGGGAGAATGGGTCTGTTCACTGGTTGTGCACCACATACAAAAATTCCTGACTCATGCAGAGCATGATGGGATCAGTTACCTTCAGATTTTGTTAACTATGGCTTGCAAGTGTGAGTCCCTCACTCCCATTACAATTAACCATGTACTGTTAATACCCACAGTACTAACAGATTAGTGATTCTGATGTGGAGTTTCATGGATATGAGACAGATGTGAGTGAAAAGAATAACCATAATACTGCTTCCAACCCAACCAACTGACAGTCCACAACTCCAGCACCAAACTCATACTGCAGTGATGAACAAATTCAATTTCATCTGCAGCCTGGTAATCATAACTGCTACCTAGCACTAAATCCTCCTACTGAAGAGAAAAAAAAGGTTCAAAGATGTTAGGTGTGTGCTCACACCACGAAAAGACCTCCACAATGCAAAGATACAAGATGTATCTGTAAGTCTTGTGAGACACCACTGTGCCTTATCCCTTGTCTTGAGGAATTCCATACACTGCAAAATTTATAATAGCATATAGTGCATATATGTTTGACACATCTGAACTGTCGTATCTGTGCACCTCTGGCAAGACAGTGATAGTGGGAATGATGGTGAAAGTGTTTCTTTTTTGGGTCACACTGCCTCAGTGGGAGATGCTCAGTGTCTTAAAAAAAAAAGTTAGTCAAAACCTGAAGCAGACAGAAACTGTCTAAAGATTTAGTGTGTGTATATAAACTAAATTGTTTTGTAGGATTTTGATACAAAGTCATAAGACAACCAGTGTCCACAGACAACCATGTTCTAGTGTTTATAATTAAAACCCCAAAACTACATAAGAAAAGGAAAAAATAGAACATAAAGAACAGAAAACAATGAGCCCATGCAGCAGCACCAGCTGTTGCCAAATGCTCCATGACCTTCACACCAACATAATTCTGTAAGTAACTGGATGGATTTAGTTAAATTTGGTCTTATTACCTGTAGAAAAATATGCTGTACATTTTTTTTTTTTTAAATTGCAATACAATTTAAGCAAAAGACAGTCTGCTGTTTCCAGAATTGTTCATTACCTTTATAACCAGATAGGTAAATTTATCTTGGAAACAGAGTCAGTTATTTCCAGAACTATTATTGTTACAATCATGGAAAAACGATCATGATTCGTATTTGACAATCAGCACTATGAATCGCATCTATTCACACTAAGGCAAGGACAATTACTACAAAAAAAAAGGAAAATGCCTTTGGTATCAAAGCATCATTACCACCTTGGTGAGTGTCTGAGTTACTGCCTGACCTGGAGACTCATGTGCTAAAGATGTTTCCCTGATCAAAAACTAAAACACAAAATTTTACAAACCTGTGCCTAGATCCAACTGGTCACCTGGGGCTGTAAACATGAGCGTTACATTCTGGTTATCTCGCAATGACCTGAGATCCGTGATTTGAGCAGGAAGCAGTGAATCTGGTGGATCTCCGGTAAGGTAGCCTATGATACTTGGTGAGGACACAGAGAATGATCCTGGGTTCTCCAGTAGCTCATCTGGGATGATCAACTGACTTCCACAACAAGCTTGTTCTTCTGTAAGATGCAAATTAAATAATGGCACATTTTCAATTTATTCCAGTATATAGCCTCTCCTCACTTAGCAATGTACATACTTGTTTACCAATGCCTCGGACTTATGATGGGCTCTCTGACCAGTATTTATACCTAAATACTAATGTATATTAGAACTGATTTCTTCTGTTCTGTTTATTTCAATTTAAATTCTTTACTGTATATTTAAAAATATATCAGAAATGTTATAAATAGTGTAAAGGTGACATTAAAACAATATCAAAGATGGCTGACACAAGCCCACTACCATTATAGTATGCTCCTCACTTATTGATGAATTCGTTTAATGATGTGGTCTTAGGAACGGAACTCCATCGTTAAGTGAGGAGAGGCTGTACTAGGTCCTGCAAACTAGCGGAATAAAAAGGAAAATGCCTCTTATGATTTTTAATGTACCTTACTCGACTATATGTAGTGCAGCAACCTTCCATCGAAAGTGCCTATTATGCACCCCATACCTATCCTGCGGGTGGTCAAAATACGTATTACAGAGGGACATATTGGGTCCAGGTACTGGGCCACAAAGTTTTGATAACTGAACAAGTGACAATGGTAATGAACCATTTACATGTTTATATCTGGTTAAAACCATAATGAGTTATATATGAAGACATGAATTAGGTCCCATTGTATTTCAATTGTAAGTAACTTTCTGTATCTTCATCTCTATTCATTCACTCTACAAAGCTGAAGATCACTGAATCAGTTTAAAATATTGTCATACTTTTGAAATTGTACCATTTACTCACTAGCTACATTTCTTATACATATGATTGTAGTTAACTGCATAAGAGATCCTACTAATTAGTCTGTGTCTAAATCTTAAGTAACTTTTAATATTACCTTGTATTTTAACAATGTATGCTTGTAAAAAAAAAAAAAAAAAAGGAGTTTAAGTGGTAATGCATAATTTACAGTGGGCAAAGTCAGGGTATTTTTTCAGTGACTGGTAGCGTGCCACTGTGGTTAAAATACTTTGACATTTCTTGAACGAGTTGTCTCTGAATTTGTTAATTGTATCACATTCCAGTACATAATGATGCAAGGTGTTACAATTGTCCATCTGGCAAAGTTTACATTTAGTTTGGACTATTACACCTGGTGGAGGTGATTTAACCTCTCACAGATACAGTGGACCCTCGAATTTAGTTGTGCCTTTTTGTATGCAAAACTATTTTTATCTTTAAAATGTATTTTTTGTTAATATTTTCCATAGGAAATATTGTAAATCCAATTAAACCATTCCAGACGCCCAAAAATATTAACAAAAAATACATTTTATAGATAATAAAAATAGTTTTGCATACAGAAAAGGCACGACTAAATTCGAGGGTCCACTGTACTAGTAAACTAGCTGGAGCCAGGTGGTAGTGTCATCTAAGAGCTCTTATTCTGCTGGATGCACCATAGACATGTGGCTCCTCCTGTATGATAGAGTGATGATAGGCGGACAGACTCGTGTAAATCTCCCCACTCTCAAGTCATTGAAGTTCTTTTTGTATTTTTTTTAACACAGCCATCTCCCACCAAGGCAGGGTGGTCCAAAAAGAAAAATCTTTTATCATTCACTCCATCGCTGTCTTGCCAGAGGCACTCTTACATTACATTTATAAAACTGTGAGACACATGCAATAGTTAGGTATCTTTATTTCGAAACATTTCGCCTACACAGTAGGCTTCTTCAGTTGAGTACAGAAAAGCTGGTAGAAGCAGAAGAAATGTAAGGACGATGTAATCAGTCCATCACCCTTGAAGACAGCTTTGAGGTGGTCAGTCCCTCAGCCTGTTGAAGACTATTTATTCCATAGCCTGAAACAGTGTGAAGTTAAAGTGACAGTATGGAGCCTTATATACTGTCAGGAGGTGAGATGTAGGCCACTAGTAGAAAAAAGAATAATCAATGAGAGGTCACGTCCCTCTCAAATCCAACCATTCTCACTTGTAGAAGTTGTCCAAGGTGTTTTCTGTACCAAGATACCATTGTACTGCAGTGTCTGACAGAGTGAATATTAAAATGGTATAAAATACTGACAGGTTGTTAGGTAAGACCTCTGAATGATTACATTCTTTCTTCTACTAGTGGCCTACATCTCACCTCCTGACAATATACAATAGTCCCTCGTTTTTCGTAGTTCTCGGGAATCATAGATTTTGGAAATCATAGGGATATTTTCGTATAAACATGGGCTCGCTAATCATAGGTTGACTCGTGAATAGTAGTTCGTCCAGGACGCATAGGCACGGTGTGAGCCGGGGCGGCCTCCCTACCCAGCCAGTCTGGCATTGTTTACCAGTGAGCAAAGGTCCCCTCATGTGCTCCTACGAAATATTTCATAATATTCCACTCATTTTAGTGCTTGCAAGTACTAAATAAGCTACCATGGCTCCAAAGAAAGCTCCTAGTGCCAAGCCTGTGGTAAAGAAGGTGAGAAATACGATTGAATTTAAGAAAAACATCATTGAACAATATGAAAGTGGCACAAGTGGAAAGATTTATGGAGAAACATCACCCTGACAAGGTTGTTGCAAGCCATGTTGGCAACATGTACAGTGACAAAGTCTTGGGCCATTTTAGGGAAGTGTTAAAGAGACACCAGAAACAGAGCTCTCTCCACAGTTATTTTGTGAGACAGGACTCCAGTGACTCTCAAGCTGGTCCTAGTGGCATTAAGAAACAAAGAGAAGCATCCCCAGAAAAGCAATGGTACCTGAGGTCTTGCTGGAAGGGGATTCCCCTTCCAAACTGTAAATAATCCAATCTCTCTCCTCCTCCAGTCTCCCATACACTAAGAAGAATCTCCAATAAAGGTAAGTGTTATGCTGTTAATGTTTCATTCATCATTTCCCATTGTATTGTTTATGTACTACATCTATATTTCATGTAAAAAAGTTTTTTGTTTTAATACTTCTGGGTGTCAGGAACGGATTAATTGTATTTACATTATTTCTTATGGGGAAAATTGATTCGAAAATCATAGATTTCGATAATAGTAGCAACTCCAGGAATGGATTAACTATGAAAAACGAGGGACCACTGTACATATAAGGCTCCATACTGTCACTTCAACATCACATTGTTTCAGACTATGGAACAAATAGTCTTCTCCAGGCTGAGGGACTGACCACCTAAAACTACGTCTTCAAGGGTGATGGACTGATTATAGTCTTCACATCTCTTCTGCTTCTACCAACTTTTCTGTACTCGACTAAAAAAAGCCTACTGTGTAGGCAAAATGTTTCGAAATAAGGATACCTAAATGTTGTATATGTGTCTTACTAACATCCTGTAGGTATTTTATACCATATTAATATTTAGTTATAAAACTGCAACATTAACACCCTTCCTTCAGAGTGTAGACACTGTACTTCCCATCTCCAGGACTGAAGTCCGGCATGCCGGTTTCCCTGAATCCCTTCATAAATGTTACTTTGCTCACACTCCAACAGCACATCAAGTCCTAAAAGCCATCTGTCTCCATTCATTCCTATCTAACATGCTCACACATGCTGGCTGGAAGTCCAAGCCCCTCGCACACAAGACCTCCTTTACCCCCTCCCTCCAACCTTTCCTAGGCCAACCCCTACCCTGCCTTCCCTCCACTACGGATTTATACACTCTTGAAGTCATTCTATTTTGTTCCATCCTCTCTACATGTCTGAACCACATCAACAACCCCTCCTCAGTCCTCTGGATAATAGTTTTGGTAATCCTGCACCTCCTCCTAATTTCCAAACTACGAATTCTCTGCATTATATTCACACTACACATTGCCCTCAGACGTAACATCTCCACTGCCTCCTTGTTGCAACATCCACCACCCATGTTTCACACCTATATAGATTGTTGGTATAACTATACTCTCAAACACTCCCCACTTTGCTTCCATGGACAAAGTTCTTTGTCTCCACAGACTCCAAGTGTGCCACTCATCTTTTTTCCCTCATCAATTCTATGATTCACCTCATCTTTCATAGACCCATCTGCTGACACGTACACTCCTAAATATCTGAATACATTTACCTCTTCCATACTCTCTCCCTCCAATCTGATATCCAATCTTTCGTCACCTAATTTTTTTGTTATCCTCATCATCTTACTCTTTCCTATATTCACTTTTAATTTTCTTCTGTTACATACCCTACCAAACTCATCCACCAACCTCTGCAACTTCTCTTCAGAATTTGCTTTTTTTTTCTCTTCAGAATTTCCCAAAAGCAGTGTCATCAGCAAAGAGCAACTGTGACAACTCCCACTTTGTTAGATTCTGTATCTTTTAACCCCACACTTCTTGCAACACCCGAGCATTCACTTCTCTTACGACCCCACCTATAAATATATTGAATAACCATGGTGACATCACACATCCTTCTCTAAGGCCTACTTTTACAGGTAAATAATCTCCCTCTCCCACATACTCTAACCTGAGCCTCATTATCCTTGTAAAAACTCTTTACTGCTTTCAGTAACCTACCTCCTATTCCATACACTTGCAGCATCTGCCACATTACCCCCCTGTCCATACACCCTGTCATACGCCTTTTCCAAATCCATAAATACCACAAAAATCTCTTTACCCATGCCTAAATACTGTTCACCCATATGTTTCACTGTAAACACTTGGTCTACACAACCCTACCTTTCCTAAAGCCTCCTTGTTCATCTCTTATCCTACTCTCTGTCTTACTCTTAATTCTTTCAGTAATAACTCTACCATATACTTTACCATGTATACTCAATAGACTTATTCCCCTATAATTTATGCACACTCTTTTGTCCCCTTTACCTCTATACAAAGGAACTATGCATGCTCTCTGCCAATCCCTAGGTACCTTACCCTCTTCCATACATTTATTAAATAAAAGCACCAACCACTCCAAAACTATCCCCACCTGCTTTTTAACATTTCTATCTTTATCCCATCAATCCCAGCTGCCTTACCCCCTTTCATTCTACCCACTGCCTCACGAACTTCCCCCACACTCACAACTGGCTCTTCCTCACTCCTACCATATGTTATTCCTCCTATACACGAAATCACAGCTTCCCTATCTTCATAAACATTTAACAATTCCTCAAAATATTCCCTCCATCTTCCTGATATCTCTAACTCTCCATTTAATAACTCTTCTCTCTTATTTTTAACTGTCAAATCCATTTGTTCCCCAGGCTTCCTCAACTTATTAATCTCACTCCAAAACTATTTCTTATTTTCAACAAAATTCGTTGATAACATCTCACCCACTCTCATTTGCTGTCTTTTTACATTGCTTCACCACTCTCTTAACCTCTCTTTTTCTCTCCATATACTCTTCCCTCCTTGCATCACTTTTACTTTGTAAAAGCCTCTCATATGCTAACTTTTTCTTCCTTACTACTCTCTTTACATCACCATTCCACCAATCGCTCATCTTCCCTCCCACACCCACTTTCCTGTAACCACAAACTTCTGCTGAGACTCTAACACTACATTCTTAAACCTACCCCATACATCTTCGACCCCACTGAATATACTCTCACTAGCCCATCTCTCCTCCAATACATGTAGTTGTTTATATCTAACCCTAACTGCTTCCTCCTTTAGTTTATAAACCTTCACCTCTTTGTTACTTGCTGCTTCTATTTTCCTTGTATCCCATCTACCTTTTACTCTCGCAATAGCTACAACTGAAAAGTGATCCGATATAACTGTGGCCCCTTTATAAACATGTATAGCCTGATGTCTACTCAACAGTCTTTTATCTACCAATACGTAGTCCAACAAACTACTGTCATTATGCCCTACATCATATCTTGTATACTTATTTATCCTCTTTTTCTTAAAATATGTATTACCTATAACCAAACCCCTTTTTATAGAAAGTTCAATCAAAGGGCCCCCATTATCATTTACACCTGGCACCCTAAACTTACCTACCACACTCTCTCTAAATGTTTTTCCTACTTTAGCATTTAGGTCCCCTACCACAATTACTCTCTCACTTGGTTCAAAAGTCCCTACACATGCACTTAACATCTCCCAAAATCTCTCTCTCCTCTACACTCCTCTCTTCTACAGGTGCATACACACTTGTTACGACCCACTTTTTGCATCCAACCCATATTTTAATCCACATAATCCTTGAATTTATACATTTATATTCCCTCTTCTCCTTCCATAACTGATCCTTCAACATTATTGCTCTAACTCTTTCAGATACTCCTGACTTAATCCCATTTATTTCTCCCCACTGAAACTCGCTCACCCCCTTCAGCTTTGTTTTGCTTAAGAGCCAGGACATCCAACTTCTTTTCATTCATAACAATAGCAATCATTGCTTTCTTGTCATCCGCACCACATCCACACACACTCAAACATCCCAGTTTTATGAAGTTTTTCTTCTCTTTTTTAGTATTTTCTACAGAAGGGGTTACTAGCCCATTGCTCTCGGCATTGTAGTCACCTTATACAACACGCACGGCTTATGGAGGAAAGATTCTTTTCCACTTTCCCATAGAGAACAGAGAAAATAAAGAAGAACAAGAACTATTAAGAGAAAGAAGAAAAACCTAGATGTGTGTATGTATATATATGCATGTGCATGCCTGTGCAGTGTGACCTAAGTGTAAGTAGAAGTTGCAAGATATACCTGTTATCCAACGTGTTTATGAGACAGAAAATAAACACTAGCAACCCTACCATCGTGTAAAACAGTTACAGACTTCTGTTTCACACTCACTTGGCAGGATGGTAGTACCTCCCTGGGTGGTTGCTGTCTACCAACCTACTACCTATTACTGTACTCCAATTGTTAGCTGACAGCCCAAGATTGTAATCTACTCCCTCCTTGAAGGCACGTGACTTTGCCATTTCATCACTTCTATCATGCATCTGAAGACTAATGTGAGATGGAATCCACAAGAGTATACTCTGACTCCACAGTCCTACCATACCTGTGTCTGGCTTCCCACACTAAGCCACTCAAACCTCATTACAACAATAACAGGGCCCAGAGTTGGAGGATGGGGAATGATGATGCTCTTGTGGCTCTTATTATTATACAGTAATTGTTGATCTATGGGACTGACATTATTAGGTGTGGGTACTAACCTGTGCCTGGAGAAGAATGAAATGCAGAAACCAAGGCATGTGCTGTACCATTATCAGTTGCTGAAGCCAATATACGTGCTGTACCATTATTGTCAGTTGCTGTAACCATGATTGTGACATTATCTGGTGGATAAAACTGTACCATGTAGGCTGAGTACACTCCGTCATTACCAGTTACATCACCTGCAACAGTGTTTATACATTAAAACCATCATGCATAAATTTTTCACTTTTTGTTTCATGAAACACTACAGTTTTATATAACAATCTAGTAAGTCTTAAGACATGTTACCAGTTTCATTTCGCTTAACATAACTGAAAATTTAGGTAGTACAATGGTCCCTCAATAATCGTCCGTAATCTGTTCCTGGAAGTGGGACTATTATCGAAATGGACGATTTACGAATAAATTTTCCCCATAAGAAATAATGTAAATTCAATTAATCCGTTCCTGACACCCAGAAGTATTAAAACAAATTTTTTTTTTACATGAAATATAGATGTAGTACATAAACAATACAGTGGCACATGATGAATTAAACATTAACAGAATAACCTTTATTGGCGATTCTTCTTTGTGTATGGAAGACTGGAGAATGAGACTGATTGGATGAATTACTGTTTGGAAGGGTAATCCCCTTCCATCAACACTTCGGGTACCAATTGCTTTTCTGGGGTTACTTCTCTTCTCTGTTTCTTAATGCCACTAGGACCACCTTGAGAGTCACTGGAGTCCTGTCTCGCAAAAAAACTGTCCAGAGAGCTCTGTTTCTGGCGTCTCTTTAAAACTTCCCTAAAATGGGCCAAGACTCTGTCACTGTACAAGTTGCTGATATGGCTTGCAACCTCCTTCTCTGGGTGATGTTTTTCCATAAATCTTTCCATCCTACCCCACATTTTAAAAATCTCCTTAATTTCTGAAGAAGGCACCTTCCTCCATCTCTCTTCCTCCTCCTCTGCAGCAAGATTCAGAGCTGCTATCTGTTGCTGTTCCTGCTGAAGCTCTTGCAGCTCCTCAGTGGTTAGCTCTTTGTTGTGGTCCTCCACCAACTCTTCCACATCCTCCAAACTCACATCCAACTCCATGGAAGTCCCCAGTGCCACAATGGATTTAACAACTGACATAGGCTCATCAGGGTCAGCCCCAAACCCTTCAAAATCCCTCTTGTGGACACAATCTGGCCACAATTTTCTCCAAGCAGAGTTCAAAGTCCTGGTAGTCACTCACTTCCAAGCCTTACCTATAAGGCTTACGCAATGGAGAATACTGAAATGTTCTTTCCAAAAATCTCGTAGGGTCAAGTGAGTGTCTGAGGTCACATTCAAGCACCTTTCAAACATTGCTTTGGTGTAGAGTTTTTTAAAGTTTGCAATGACCTGCTGGTCCATGGGCTGGATTAGAGGAGTGGTATTCGGGGGCAAAAACTTTACTGTGATGAACCCAAACTCCTTCAGAATTAGGTCATCCAAGTTTGGAGGATGAGCAGGTGCATTGTCCATTACTAGGAGGCACTTGAGATCCAATTTCTTTTCCAGGAGGTAATTCTTCACTAGGGCCAAACACTTCATTGAACCACTCTACAAAAATTTCCCTCGTGACCCATGCCTTACTATTAGATTTCCAAAACACACACAATTTACTCTTCATAACATTGTTTTTCCTGAACACTCTGGGATTTTCAGAATGGTACACTAGTAATGGCTTCACTTTGAAATTCCCACTAGCATTAGCACAGAACATTAGCATCAGCCTGTCTTTCATAGGCTTGTGTCCTGGCATTGCCTTTTCCTCTTGTGTAATGAAGGTCCTCTTTGGCATTTTCTTCCAAAAGAGGCCTGTTTCGTCACAACTGAACACTTGTTCAGGTTTCAGTCCTTCAGCCTCTATGTACTCCTGGAATTCATGCACATATTTTTCAGTCGCCTTGTGGTCCGAACTGGCAGCCTCACCATGCCTTACCACACTGTGGTAATTGTTTCTCATTTATCCACACCAATAATAACTTCTCAACATCTTCGAGTACTGGTGATCTCATTTTTGTCAGCATATTTACCCATTTTGCAACAGCGTCCTTGATTTCCTTTTTCTTGGCTATGATGGAAGATACGGTTGTACGGGATTTGTTATATGTCCTGGCCAGTTCGCCCACACGTACGCCACTATCATATTGTTCAATGATGTTTTTCTTAAATTCAATCGTATTTCTCACCTTCTTTACCAAAGGCTTGGCACTAGGAGCTTTCTTTGGAGCCATGGTAGCTTATTTAGCACTTAAATAACTTGCAAGCACTAAAATAAATGAAATATTATGAAATATTTTGCTGCAGCACGTGAGGGGACCGTCGCTCACTGATAAACAATGGCACACTGGCTGGGAAGGAAAGGCCGAGGCGTTTCGAGGCCGCTCAGACCGTGAGTACGCGTCCGGGACGCAGGACTATTAGTGAGTTACCGGACCATTTCCGAGCCAATATTTTGACGAAAAACAGGACTATTTCCGAAATGGACGACTTTCAGGCTGGACGATTATTGAGGGATCACTGTACGTTGGTAGACAGCAACTGCCCAGGGAGGTACTATCGTCCTGCCAACTGAGTGTAAAACAAAAGCCTGTAATTGTTTTACATAATAGTAGGATTGCTGGTGTCATTTTTGCCCACTATCAATGAGCACTCAGAATTTACCTACAACGTCGTCTCCACTCTGCTGCTCTCTCTTTACCTTCCCTTCTTACTGACAGAACCTCCTTTAATCCGAACTCTCTCATTGACTTTTTGACAACTGATTTACTCCACAAACTCTGATGATGATGCCTTTAGCACTCCCCACAACCCTTTCTACCTCAATCTCTTGCTACCCTCTACCCTTGCCCTATGCACTGCCCCGTTGTCCTCCATAACCTACTAATCATCCCTCTTCCTTTTGCCACCCAATACTCTCGCTTCCTTCCCTGCCCTGCAGCGCTGTATGGCCCTTGTGGTTAGGCACTTCTTTTTGATTATAATAATAATAATAATAATAGACCCTAATATAGCAATAATGTTTATTTTTACTAGCACTGACAATCCATCAGAAGACCAAAGATGCAACTTGAAGAAAGCTTGGCACTGACAGCTCCAGTTCAAACTAATACTAATTCTATCACCCTGATAATCCAGTCTACCAACTTCCTGACAGTCGCCTCCATTTGCAGCAGAATAATTAGTTTACCTAATGGCAGTCATTAGACATATACATGTGCCAAGCCAACATGCTAACAATAGGAATAAGGCTTGTAGAAAAACATGGGCTCACCATCGTCAAACAACTTTACCTAGCCTGTTCCACCCAAAGACTGAGAAGGGGTGTTTCAATAAAGCTCAGTGGCATCCTAATCACTAAAGTTAATAGCAGATCTAGGAAAGAATTCCTGTATTAGCAGCAACGTACAGGAGATGCACTGGCCAGTACATTGTTTTGCCCACACAAAAGAAATATCAAGACTATTTTTTTTTTTTTAATACATCAACCATCTCCCACCATATTGTAAATCTAGCAAACAAGGCAGCCAGGAAGCTTACAGCACTTCATAGTATCTTGCATCTACTTGACAGTAGGGGTTGCAAGATTCTGTACGAGGCACAAGTATGCTCACACCTTGAGTAAGTTCCACTTTCTTGGTTTGCCTGCCCCCCCTCTCATCTGCGACTGCTTGACAGAGTGGAGAACAGAGCAAGATGTCTCATCTCTCGCCTGGACCCATCCTGGATAGATCTGTCATTTCAGCAGAGCCTTCAACATAGGAGGGATGTGGGTGGCCTTACTGTTATGTACAAGGCCAATATTGTCAAAGTATGACACTTGGATCCACTTCGAGGACAGCGTGAAACAAGCTTTTATGCCACAAGATGGGCAGAAAGCAGGAACTTCACTCTGGCTGTACCCTTCACCAGAACATCACTCCATCTGAGATCATATATACCCTGGATGACTCGAGTATGGAACACATTCGTACAGCATAATGATGTCAACGAGATAACGTCAGTTGATCAAATGAAAATGCTGGCCCACAGATGGCTCCAACTTCATCCTGTTCCCTACTTGTATGTCTCATAACAATAAAAATGCTTTCAAATGAGCTGATGTAGGTAACAGCTCTTAGCTTGTCAATAAAGTTTGGAATCCTTAACCTGTAAATAGCTTATCAATAAAACTAGGGATCCTTAACCTTGTCAAACCCTGTGTAAAAAAAAAAAGAGAGAGAGAGAGAGAGAGAGAGAAAGATATATATATATATATATATATATATATATATATATATATATATATATATATATATGTCGTGCCGAATATGTAAAACTGGTCAATTAGCAAGAACTCATTTAAAATTAAGTCCTTTCTAAAAATTTTCTCTTATACGTTTAAAGATATATTTTTTTCATTAATGTTAATGTAAAAATTTTTAATTCTGCACCAAAAGAATCTTAGAAAACTTACCTAACCTTATTATAACAAGAACAATTTATTTTATCCTAACCCAACTCATCAGGAGGAGAGTGGTGGAGCACCTGGAAAGAAACAAGTGTACAATTGACAACCAGCACGGTTTCAGGGAAGGAAAATCCTGTGTCACAAACCTACTAGAGTTTTATGACAAGGTGACAGAAGTAAGACAAGAGAGAGAGGGGTGGATCGACTGCATATTTTTGGACTGCAAGAAGGCCTTCAACACAGTTCCTCACAAGAGGTTACTGCAAAAGCTAGAGGATCAGGCACATAACAGGAAAGGCACTGCAATGGATCAGAGAATACCTGACAGGGAGGCAACAACGAGTCATGGTACGCGACGAGGTGTCAGAGTGGGCGCCTGTGACAAGCGGGGTTCCACAGGGGTCAGTCCTAGGACCTGTGCTGTTCTTGGTATATGTGAACGACATAACGGAAGGGATAGACTCAGAAGTGTCCTTGTTTGCAGATGATGCGAAGTTAATGAGAAGAATCAAATCGGATGAGGATCAGGCAGGACTACAAAGAGACCTGGACAGGCTACAAGCCTGGTCCAGCAACTGGCTCCTTGAATTTAACCCTGCCAAATGCAAAGTCATGAAGATTGGGGAAGGGCAAAGAAGACCGCAGACACAATATAGTTTAGATGGCCAAAGACTGCAAACCTCACTCAAGGAAAAAGATCTGGGGGTGAGTA